GTCCTCACTGACTGAGGACGATCCTAGGCTGTGTTTATTCTAGGGCCACATTGCAGGCAGAGCTGCCTTCTTGGCTTCTAAAAGAGCCATGAGGGCAGATATGACCATGGGAAGACAGCAAAAGTGTAGAGAAGGGGAAAGGCAAATGATCCTAACAATAATTGCTAATTCCACCTAGAAAAATGATGTGTAATTCAATGTTGAACTGTATTACTGTGACACTAGCCCATGAAAGGGTTGTGATATTATGTTCCCTTGAAATTCAGGTCCATAAAAATGCAGCAAATGTTTTGAGCACAGGTTGCACCCAGCAGTCCATCTAATTGTAGTTGTGAACACAGTAATACTCTCTGGAAACACTGGTCCCCAGTTCACTGATGCTGATGTAGTTGGTTTCCTTTCCCATGAGTCTGAACCAGACAGATGACCAGGACTAGAAAGAGCTGTGACATATAGAAGTCCAATCTGTGTCCAAATTGTATTTGGATTTAGATAGTTCTCCATACATACACAATAACTTGACAAGAGATGGAGACTCTCTCCCAGATGTGCAGAGAGGCTGGCATCTGGATCAGTATGATGTTCCCATTCACTGCTGAAGAGTAAAAGAGCAATGTGGCTTTGATGGTAGATGGCAAGGACATGTACTGAGTAGCAGCCATCCTTACGTAAGAGAGAGGTTTCGCTGACCTGGCCTTTGTCCAGGGCCACACCCTCACCTGCTCTCCAGGAAGTCAGTCTCCAAGAAAACTGTATCCAAGACCTCAGGAACATGCTGGTGTCAAGTATAACACAGAGCATTAACCAGGGGATGTGACTTTGATTTTCCTAGTTTAGATAATCTACCCTCGAAAGATAATTGGTGAATAGGCTGATCCAGGGTTTTAATTTATCATATTCTAGGCTCCTATAATTGTAAAAATAAAGAGAGATTTTTGGAAATTTTATCTGGTATCACTAATCAGGCCTTAATCCTGGTGATTCATAAGAAATATTACCCAATGGCAGAAAATAATGGTGGAACATGGTGTCCTCATTATAATAAGGCTCATCTAATTTAGACCTTGGCTACAAAGAGACCTAAAACTTTAAAATAATGTGAGTAACATGCAGTATCATCCCTGTGCATCTGCAGTGAATTGGTAGACCTTATACTGTCAGCAACAATGATTTAAGACCAATCCTAAATGCTTTTAAGTATATCAAGTATACTTCTGATAAAATTTCCCCTTTCGTTAAAAAATGAAACAATTTTACTTTCTGTGTTGTTAGTACAGTGCAATTGTTTTTTACCCCACAGGATCCATTTCAGAGTAGCGTAAAGACCTGTCAACTACCCACTAAGTTTCCACCAAGCATTCAAATACAAATAAAGATATTTTCCCACACAATTAAAAATGCAACTATATAATACATTATTCCATCTAGTCCTTAGCATCATTGAAACCTCAAACTATAAGAACCTTAGAAATTGCAAGAGACACCCTTATGCAAATTGGAATAGGCAACCAATTCCTGATCAAAACCCCAATTGCCAACGCCATAAGTGATAAGATTTACAAGTGGGACCTCATCAAACTGACAAGCTTCTGCAAAGCCAAAAAAACCATTGAGAGAGCAGGGAGAGAGACTACAGAATGGGAAAAAAATATATTTGCCAACTGTAAATCTCACAAAGGCCTAACACCCTGACTTTACAAGGAACTGAAAGGTGCTAAAAAAAAAAAACAGCCCCATTAAAGTGGGCAAAAGATATAAATAGATGCTGCTCAAAAGATGACATGTGCATTCAACAGATACATGAAAAAATGTTCAGCCTCAGTAGTCATCAAAGAAATGCAAATTAAAATCACACTTAGATACCACCTAACTCCAGTCAGGATGGCCATCATCAATAACAACAAAAAAACCAACAAAAAAACAACAAATGCTGGAGAGGATGCAGTGAAAAGGGAACACTTCTACACTGTTGGTGGGAGTGTAAACTGGTAGTACAGACTCTGTAGAAAACAGTGTGGCGATTCCTAAAAGATCTAAAAATTGACCTTCTATATGACCCCGCAATCTCCCTACTGGGAATATACCCGGAGTAACACAAATCACTCTATGAAAAAGAAACCTGTACATGTATATTTATGGCAGCATTGTTCACAATAGCAACAATATGGAACCAACCATGCCACCCATTGAAAGAAGACTGGATTTTTAAAATGTGGTGCATATACACTGTGGGATATCATGCTGTCATAAAGAAGGACAAACGTATGAACTTCACAACAACTTGGATGGAATTAGAAGCTATAATACTGAGTGATCTATCACAGAAACAATGAACTGAGTATTAAATGTTCTCATTCATAAGTGGTCCTTGAACAACAATCATAAAACCACAAGAAAGGGATTGTCAGCAGAGGCAAACTGCCAAATGAGGGGGGAAACACCTCATCGATAAGGGTACCTGCATAATGAACATTTGTATACCTAACCCTGAATTGTACCCCAAATATTTAAAATAAAATATATTAAAAAATAAAATACAATTTGAAAATTTCCCCCAAATGTCTTTTGTAACAATGTGGCCACCAAAGAAAAACATATTCTCGCATGTAAATCCGTGATGCACTTGTCTGACCTGGGAAACTGAGGTCACTGCATCTGTGTTGAGTTGCTGAAAAGAGGCAACCCTGCAGCTGTGCCCAGCCTGCCTCATCCCCTGCTTATTTGCATGTTCCCAGAGCCCAGTCTACTGCTCTGAAGACTGATTAATAGGCTGGTCACACCCAGTGCAAGAATCAGTCCCAGTCAGAACACAGCATGGACATGAAGGCTCCTGCTCAGCTCCTGGGGCTCCTGCTTCTCTGGCTCCCAGGTAAGGAGGGAGAGCAATAGAAATTGACTCAGCCAGTGTGCTCAGTACTATCTGGTCAGTTGGGTTAAGTCCTTTTATGACATGATTAATTATAGGATATTTGCTATTGTGTTTCCAATCTAAGGTGCCAGGTGCGACATCCAGGTGACCCAGTCTCCATCCTCCCTGTCTGCATCTGTAGGAGAGAGAGTCACCATCACTTGCCGTGCAAGTCAGAATATTAACAATGAATTATCCTGGTATCAACAGAAACCAAGGAAAGCCCCTAAGCTCCTGATCTATGCAGCATCCACTTTGCAGTCTGGGGTCCCATCGAGGTTCAGTGGCAGTGGATATGGGAAAGATTTCACTCTCACCATCAGCAGTCTGCAGTCTGAAGATTTTGCAATTTATTACTGTCTACAGGATTACAGTGCTGCTCCCACAGTGTTACAAGTCATAACATAAACCACCCAGGGAAGCAGATGTGTGAGCCTGGGCTGCCCCAGCTGTCCTCCTTGTGGCTTCATCTGCTGAGGGCATTTCTAAGATGCAGCCAGATTTGAAGGTCATTAGGAAATTCTGTTAGAGGGGGGCATGAGGGCTCTACTCCAACCTAAT